CCTCAGGACTGAGGAGCTGGGGTCAGGGTCGAAGGCCGTGGACCAAGCAGACCCACAGTCCCAGGGCAGGTCATTGTCCTCTTGTTGGAACACGGCCTGAATGCTCTTGTCAGCCCTTTGCTTTCTCTCAAGGTCTTGATCTCTGAGCAATGATGCACAGTGATGCTGAGAAGTACTTCAGAAATTACCCAATGTTTCCATCCAGTGTCCTAAGTGAAGCAGGGCTGATGAGGGCCCCCCTCTCGGTCTGCTGTGACACAGGAGGTGGCACTGAGAGCCTGGGGGCCAGAGAGCCAGCTGGCGTGAGCGGCCCCCACGTGCCCCACAGTGGATTTTGTCCCCATCTCCTGCGGAGTGTGCATCCTACAGGAGGCGGGCTCACGTCTGTCACTTGGGAGGAAGGTAAGTCTCCTCTGCCATGCAGCTGTTTTAAATCCTCTGACTTCAGAGCAGGATGCAGAACCTCCCTCTGTCATACTGGAGCCACCTGCAGGCCCAGCCCAGTTGCTAGGACAGCCGTGACTTCAAGCAGCAGGAATCAGGGACCTCTGGCCTCGTGCCTTTGGAGTTCTCCACCCGCAGCGTTAGCCTGGGGCTGGATCCCAGACCCCAGCGACTGCCCAGGTCTGCTCTTGGGGTGCCACCTGTACCCCAACGACAGGCCCTAGCTGCACTTGGCTCAGGGAGGGGTCTCTCCTAGCACCTGCACCCTTTGTCAGATGCCTGCCTGGCCTGCCGTTCCCCAGCCGGGGCTGGGAGAATTCCCTGGGACCAGTCCGCCGTCTGGCTCTCTGCCTGTCACTGCTCCACCTTGGGGCCCTGCTCCTCTCTGGACACTGTGTTCTGTCCTGGAGGTGGCCCTCCTGCTTGCACACGGAGCTCTTGCACCCCTCGCCACGCCTGGTCTCCCCTCTGGGTCCCTCCTCTCTTCTCCTGCACCCAATCGTCTAGACAAGTTTGTCTGTCCCAAGACACCCCAGAACTCTACTGCTCCAGGAGATTCTGGAAAGTCTGCCTTTGGCTTGAGTACCAGGCTTGGTAGCCCATTGCAAATGGCCCCACCAGGCCCCCTGGACGTTGGCAGGGGCCGAGATGAGTTGACTGAAGGCCATCAACCACCTCCCACTTCTACAAAGACAGGGCATCCCCACATCTCCCCTGAGAATCAGGAGGGAGTCGTCTTGTATCCCTGGGGAGTGTCAAGAGCTGAGACTTTGAGAGCTTGTTTGGAGGTTCTAGCAGGGGAGCACAGCTACTCGTATACCCTGGACCGAAGAACGGTCCTCCTCTATCGGCGACGGTCGTCCTCTTCGACCCAGCACGCAGCTTTGGGAGGGACGCACATGGAGCGGTGAGGGGGGAAGGGGACACCCGCCTACCCAGCCAGATCAGCCGAATCAACTCTGGCGAACAATGGGGTGACAGATGTTGCAGCCAGATCGCCCTCACATCCAAGAGCTGAGACTTTGGATCCAAAGAGACCTTGCGAGCTGTGCCCCTGGGCAGATAAGGTAGGGATTACAACTTGTCCTACCATCTCCTGAGGTTGCTGCTTACTTACACAAGATGACAGATGCTAAGTGATTGGCCCATTGCCTAGCACACAGTAGGTACTTATTAAATGCTAGCTGTAATAATAAACTTTTCTTGGAATGAGGCGAGCTATAAGTAAGCATTCGGTAGGCAGCGAAGACCGACTGTTCTGGAGGAGAATTCATGCTGTAGATGCAGGTAGTAGGAGAAGGCTTGAAACAGGGAGTGCTGATAACAGTGTGAGCAAAGTGTGGAGGGAGATGACACAGGACAAAGGGGCATCTCAACTCATGGGGGGCAGAGATGGGCTCATGAATGAACAGGACAACCGGGCAGCTCATCCGGAAGAAGACAGAGCTTGCTTCCTAGCATGCTGCCCCAGAATGAAGGCTGGATGCACCGGCGATTGAGACGTGCCCCTGAAACCACGCAGACTCAAGGGGAGAGCAGGGTTGGATCCTCTTGAACCCTGGCATGGGGAGAGGCCATCCGGCTGTGATTCAGATCCGGGCAGATAACATGCTGATGCACACGGCTATGTGAAAACAAGGTTACATGGCAGCAGAAACACCGGGAATGAAGTCAAGAGACAGCTAACGAGCTGCGAGAGCATGTCTCACACGCACGGCAGGCAAGGGTCTAACGTCTCCTCTAACACAGAGAACTCTCTAGGGGCGCCCGGATGGCTTGGTCGGTGGATGGAGCGCCCGACTCTTGGTTCTCAGGGTTGTGAGTTCGAGCCCCGCATGGGGGTAGAGATTACTTAAAAATAAAGTCTTGGAAAGAAAAAAAAAAAGAAAGAACTCTTTAAAAAGGACCAGAAACCTGACAGAAAAGGGGAAAAGACACGAACAAACATTCACAGAAAAGAGAACAGAAGATGAACCTGTCCCTGGAGAAACGCAAACTGACACACCAGGGAGACACCCTTTCTGGCTGAGCAGGTGGTGAGGATTCCAGGTGTGCGGGCAGGTGGCAGGAAGCGGCTCCCTCATGCTGCAGGTGGGGCTGCCCACTGCCGGCCCTCCTGGAGGGAAACAGGCCATGCTCGGCACAGCGTGCTCCCTCCTTGCACCTGGCAGCCCCTGCCCGGGGAGTCACCGTGGGGATGTAGCTCCGACAACATGAGCACGCATATGCACAGGGTCATTCCCTTCAACACTCCCTGAAATTGGAAAATACTGGGAAAATCAAATGCCTCTTGATGGGAAAGTGCTTGGAAAATTATGCACAGAGCACTATTATCCAGCCGCAAAAATGCGTGACAAAGCTCTCTATGCGCTGATAAGAACGGATTTCCAGCATATAGTGGTAGGTGAAAAGAAAGTGCAAAAAGAATATCTATATAAAGGGCTAGTATCCAAAATCTATAAAGAACTTATCACTCAACACCCAAAAAACAAATAATCCAATCAAGAAATGGGCAACAGATATGAATAGACATTTCTCCAAAGAAGACATACAAATGGTCAACAGACACATGAAAAAACGCCCAACATCACTGGGCATCAGGGCAATACAAACCAAAACCACAATGAGATACTATCTCATACCAGTCAGAATGGCTAAAATTAACAACTTGGGAAACAACAGGTGTTGGTGAGGATGCGGAGAAAGGGGAACCCTCTTACACTGTTGGTGGGAATGCAGGCTGGTGCAGCCACTCTGGAAGACAGTATGGCGGTTCCTCAAAAAGTTGAAAATAGAGCTACCCTACAACCCAGCAATTGCACTACTGGGTATTTACCCCAAAGATACAAATGTAGTGATTCAAAGAGGCACCTGCACCCCAATGTTTATAGCAGCAATGTCCACAATAGCCAAACTATGGAAAGAGCCCAGATGTCCATTGACAGATGAATGGATGAAAAAGATGGGGCATATAGATACAATGGAATACTACTCAGTCATCAAAAAGGATGAAATCTTACCATTTGCAATGACAGGGATGGAGCTAGAGGGTATTATGCTGAGCAAAATAAGTCAGTCAGAGACAGACGAATACCATGATTTCATTCATATGTGGAATTTAAGAAACAAAACAGATGGACATAGGGGAAAGGAAGAAAAAATAAAATAAGAGGAAAACAGAGGGAGGCAAACCATAAAAGCCTCTTAACTCTAGGGAACAAACTGAGGGTTGCTGGAGGGGAGGTGGGTGGGGGGATGGGTTAACTGGATGTTGGGCATTAAGGAGAGCACTTGAAGGAATGAGCACTGGGTGTTATATGCAACTGATGAATCACTAAACTCTACCTCTGATACTAATAATACAGTATATGTTAATTTAATTGAATTTAAATAAAAATTAAAAAATATCTATAGCATAGTACAAGAATAATCTATAGTATAGAATAAGAATATAGCATAGCATAGTAAAAGAATATCTTTAGCATAGAGTAGCGTAAGAATATTTATAGTACGGTATAAGAATATCTACAGCAGGGGGCGGCTGGGTGGCTCAGCTGGTTAAGCATCCAACTCTTGATTTCGACTCAGATCATGATTTTGGGGTTCTGGGATTAAGCCCTGTGTCGGGCTCCTGCTCATCAGGGAGTCTGCTTGTCTCCCTCTCCCTCTGCCCTTTCCCCTGCTCTCTCTCTCTCAAATAAATAAATCTTTAAAAAAAAAAGAATATCTACAGCATATACCACACTATAGTACAGTAGGAGAGTATCTATAGTATAATATACTTCATGTGAGAAGGATAGAAGAGAAAAATTCATACACCTGCTCATCTGTGCAAAAGAAAGACAAGAAGGAAGATGCAGAAATGAATGAGATGGGTCACCCACAGGGAGTAGGTGGCAGTGGGTGGCAGCCAAGGACCAGGTGGGACTGGGGGGAGTGAGGATGAGGGGCCAAGGGAAGCAGTGAATGAAGCCAGCCAGTTGGGAAGAAGGGCACTTTGGCAGCAAGACCGAAGTCACAACGGGGAAGGGGCCCAGTGCCAGCCGTCCTTGGGGACTCATGGGCCATCCCTCCAGTGCAGCCAGCCCATCGTCCCAGGAAGTTCTGAGCCCTGAACAGGGTAGGAAGAACAGCCTCAGCCTGACCACGGGGACTGAGGGAACCAACAGAGACAGCCCCGTGAGCGGGGGCTCCTGTCACGGAGACTCAGCCCTATGGGCACTAGACCGTCCCCCACACGCCTGCACTTGGATGGGCCACATGTGTCTCAGAGGGACACAGCCCAAATGGAACCCTCCAATAGCAGAGGCCCCTCTGGACAAGGCCCAGCATCCACCCTGGCCCAGGTCATCATGAACACAGCCTCCTCCATCCACACTCACTCATCACTGGCATCCTCCTTTGCCCTTAGGCTGTCACCGCCCATGGCCAGCATTCTGTCACCCTAGACCTTGGTGAAGAACCCCTCCCAGTGGCCTTGAGTGGACTCCTGGCCCCAGGCCCTGCAGCCCCCACCCCAGCCACACTCCTCCCACCAGGGGACACATGAGACTTACCCGATGGTCTTGCCCCAGTCACACCACAGTGTCTTCCCGATGGCCTCCATGCTCACCTTGAACCGGGTGAGGCAGAGCTCCCAGAGGAGAGTGCTGTAGTTGGCGTCCTGGCAGGCCGTGGCCAGTAGGATGTGGTGCACTGCAATGAGAGCGCCCAGGGATCATGAGTCGGCCCTGCCCACCCTCCCCCACCTTCCCTATGCACCCATGGGGGGCCCGGCCCAGAGCCTGCTTCCACCTGATCCCTGGAAAGGGAGCCTGTGGCTCAAGGATCCCAGCACAGCCCAGCCCAGCCAAGGCTCTGCCTGCTGCAGGAGTTCTTGGACTCCTTGATGGGCCTCACGGACATGTGTGGACACCCAGCTGCATCTTGCAGCTCTTGGGCCTGGGGAGCCCACAGAGCAGCGGGTGAAATGGCCCAAGGAGAGGGTGGTAGCCCTCAGGGCACGCAGATTGTGTGGGGAGTTCTGGGGTCCCTGACTCTGAAACATGGCCTAGAAGGGTGTGTGTACTTGAGTGGGCTTGCCCCATGGCCCCTCAGACTCCTGCCCCCCCTCTGCCTCCATTTTCCAGGAGTAAAATGTAGAGGAACTGGTACTCCCGCCCCTATGATACACGAGTACTGCCCAAAGCTCTTCACATGCACGGATTATCTTGGAGGCAGGTCCTATTGTGATCATCAACTTACTAGATAGTAAGGGAAACTGAGGCTTTGGGGCTCAGAAGCGGGCCCAAGGTCCCAGCACCAGAAGAGGTGTAGACTTGACTGAAGTTGTCTCACCTACCTTGGGTCTCACACTCAGCCAATGCCCAGTCCCAAGAGATTGAGGACTAGGCAACAAGCTGGGCAGTGCAGTGGAGGGCCTGACCTGTCTTTTGCTGCAGATCTGGGGGGAGAGGGCAGATGATGAAGGGGGTGATTGGGGTCACAGATGTGAGTGATGACAGCAGGCTGTTAAGCGCCATTTTTAGAATGCAACTCCTGGGGGCTCAATAGCTAGTTACTGGATGGGCGGATGGGTAGGTGGATGGGTAGATAGGTGGGTGGATGGACGGGAGGGTGCATGGGTGG